TTTATAGTGTTTGAACGGGGGTGAAGAGCAAATAGCTCGATAAATGCTGCAGGGTTTATTAGTTTTTCATAGGTGTCAGGGAAAGAGAAGCTTTCGCTCTCTCCCTCTCTCTCTCTCTCTCTCTCTCTCTCTCTCTCTCTCTCTCTCTCTCTCTCTCTCTCTCTCTCACATGTGAATTAATATGAAGAATGTCAAATCGGACACACATCTTGGCATGAGTGAATTCCATGATAAAACGAGGGAAACATTTATTAAAAGAAAGCAGAATTATAGCATCAAACAGCAGTTGCCTTCGGAAAACAGCCGGAGTCCATGCACCGGTCAAAACCAACGAACAGAGCGTTCTGAGAAGACGTCTTTGTCAAGTTCCAGGACGAGGGAACTTTGTGTAGGATTTCTTCTTCTTACTCCTCTCGGGGAGCGCCACAGCGACCCCCATTTTCAGGTTCTCCCCATCTTCAGTATTAAAGTCATTATCGTCACTATCGTCGTCTTCAACGTCATCATCGTCGGCGAACTTTATTTTGGCGCCATTGGGTAAGGCGCCAAGAGCATCACCGTCAGTATATCTGTCCGGGGGTAGCAGAGCTTCAGACGAGGCGTCTGGAATGGTTACGTGGGGGCTTATGCCAGGCTTATAAAACACTTTTGGCGCCCGGAACTGCTGTTTAGTAATTGGGCGGTTCTTATCTCCAAAGTCCGAACTATCGTCCTGAGGTTCGTGGATGTCTTTGAGGAGACGGTGAGATCTGTTTGCCCTATTTTCTCCAACGGCCCCTCCTCGGTCAAGCTCCGCCCCTCTTTGACGCGGAGAACCGTTGTTGCTGAACGAGACCTGCCCGTCGCTGGATTTTCCGGAGTAGTTGTGTCTGAGGAGTGGCACGAGGTAGCCGTCGCCCGAGCTGTTTGGGCTAGAGACAGGGTGGGCGTGATTTGAAACAGCTCTGGTGGTAGCAGTGGGCGGGGTCGAAGGCTGTCGTTCATGTAGGCGGAGGCCTCGAGAGTTGATGATGGGCGGGACGTAGAAGACAGGAAGGCCCCTTTGAGACATGTCATCATCCTTATGAAGTCGCGCCGACAGTGAGTTGTCAAGAAGGATGGGGAGTAGAATAAACTGGAGTAAGAAATGCGTGTATGGGAGAAGTGTGTGTGTGTGTGTGTGTGTGTGTGTGTGTGTAATTTGGGACCATCGTGGCCACCAAATACACCCATACACGTAGGCCTTATAAATATAAATACTTTAAATTTATGTCGTGTGCACAGCACTTGAAACGGTTTCATGCACATTGTTATTTCACGAGGATTCGAACGGTTATCGAGGTGGCACTTGACTGTATTTTCCCCGTGATTTTGGCAAACTCTTTTCAAACAGTAAATATGTTTGTCTTCTATTGCCATGAAGAGATTTGAATAAACGTATGCATTTTGAAATAATTTGCTCTGTTCACTTGCTAAGGTTCTTTTTGTTATATTGATATCTTAAATTAAATGTTTTCAATCTAAAAAACGAATGTAATGAACTTTTGGTTCTCTTCTGCATTGAAGCTAATTTCTTTCCTTTAGTTTAGGGGTCTCCAGTCTTTCAAGAACCTGAAAAACGTGTCTTCCTTCAAAGCATTATACTCGAATGAGAATAAATATCAGAACTAATACTGGTTAATCTCAAGAAATGTATAACTGTAAGTATACCCATTGGTCTTCTTCATTTCCATGAGCACGGGATGAAGGGAGTTAACTGTGTAAATTGCCGAAAGCTTATGACCAGAACGTGTTTGAGCCCTTAATTTTTTTTTCTCCGCAGGCTTTATATCACTCGGAGGCAAAACAATGTAATATCATTAATTTTAGCAATCGCACGGCTCAAAATATCTTTAATTCCTTCAAGTTTTAGGAAAAGTGGACTTAGTAACGGTCATAGTAAAAAAAGTGCGTTTTTCTGCACCCCCCCCCTCCAAAAAAAAAAAGAATAATTAGATAAAAATTATATAAAATAAATAAATGATTAAGTGAAAATATGAATAAATGAATAACGGAATAAAGGAATAAATGAATAATAAACGAATACATAAAAACAAACAGAAAACAAGATTTCAAAATGTTAAAAACTGTACACATTTCACGCTCTTTGCAACACTGCAAGGTTATTCATTAAGAGGCAGGACTTTCGAATTTAACGTCCATTTCTGAAAAGTCCCGCTGTCAAAAAGGAAAATTCTTGTAAATTACCTTTCCGAAGGACTCGATGTCAGACCCAGCTCTTCAGAGCGTCGAACCCCTGAAGCCGCAGTCTCTCTCTCTCTCTCTCTCT